GCCTAAAAAGAAAAAAGAAAAAGAAAAGTTAGTATACAAAATACGAAAAAAAACATATATTAATTTAAAAAAAAAGATTATGAGACGCGTTTTTTAGGCTTTTATAAAAAAAGGGCGTCAATTGTCGTTCAATTTATGACACCATACTTTAGCAAGCTTATATAATTTGTATGTTAAGTAGAATACATGCCTTTAGTTATGCCGTATAAAGAATCTATATTAGGATGCAAACTGACTGTTCGTAAAAATTTAAGCTATAAATAAAAAAAAAAAAAATTAATTTTATAACTTCTTGATATTTTCAGATAATTAACAATCAAATGTACCTCTTTAATAAATTCATCAGAGTTTGCATTAACTTTCAGACTTTTGAGAGCAACGGTTAGCCCAAAATTTTTCCATTTTGCTTTTTCTACTTTTCCAAATCCACCTTCGTTAATTTTAACCATATCAGTAAAGCTATTATAATCATAGAAGCTTATGAGGTTTTCTGAAATTAATTTCTTAATCAATTGTTCTGATTCATTCGAAAAATTCATCTTATTTAGTTTTGATATTGACATAGAAATCTGTCCTGTCGAAAATAACTAATTTCAATTTTCGATTGTTTACGATTATTTGTTGATCAATCAAAAAACAACAGCGTGTTGACACCCCGTGACTAGGGTTGGGGGCATGGGGTTAAGAGGCATGCCCCATGGGGCATGCCCCCGGGGGCATGCCTAGGGCATGCCCTTTGACCAAAAGGCATGCCCCTATCATGTGATATAGGGCTATTATATAATTGGTCAATTATCAAATTGGCCAATTAGAATTAAAGCCTACTATTGCTAATTACGATAATTTATGATATATATATCTATAGAGGGCATGCCCTAGGCACAGAGGGGCATGCCCTTCGCAAAGGCATGCCCCCAGGGGCATGCCCCAAAAATTTGCCGTGCCCCTAACCCTACTTTAGACGTCCCCCTGATATAAACATACAGAAATGGTGTTATTACAGTATTAATCAAAAATTCATCAATTTTTCGCTGCCTCGAAATCTATTGCTACATACTCAATTCTACTATCTTAACAGTATAATATCGCAATCATGTCCGCTGTTTCTGCACCACTTCCTCGCCCTAAACTCTTTACATGCTTGGCATGTCAAGTTACTTTTAACACTGCTCAAGACCAAAGAAACCATTATGGAACTGACTGGCACCGGTATAATTTGAAAAGAAAAGTTGTAGAATTGCCACCTGTAACCTATAATGTATTTGAGCAAAAGGTTTTAGGTAATACTCTCGTTTAACCATTATTGGATAATTTGTATAATTATCGTAATGAAATTTACAAACTATTCGTAGCTCAACAAGCACAAAGCAAGGATGCAGACGAAAAAGCTAGTTTTTCTGCCGAATGTATCGCCTGCAAGTAAGTCGAGTTATTCGCAAATCATTAGTCAATAAATCTTTTAGCACTCAAAATTTGATATTCATAGAAAAACCTACTATTCTGAAAATGCTTATGCTAATCATTTGCGATCTAATAAGCATAAAGTCGCAGATTTGAAAGCTGCGCAAGAAGGTGATTTCTTATTAATCAAACTAAGAATAGTGAATAATATCAAAGCATGTAATAAACTAAATAGCTTTCAATTAATAGGAGGTGCGCTGGCGAAAAAAACTACGCTGAATGTTCGTAAAGACGAAAACATTCAGGAAGAGGTATATAATTCCCTATTCTCCATTATCGCCTTTGCTGATTTTTTATTGTAGCTTAAATTGTTAAAAACATCAAACATAGATTAAATTGACTGAAGTCGATTGTCTTTTCTGTACACAAAAATCTGAGTCTTTCGAAATTAATTTGACACATATGACCAGAGCCCATAGTTTTTTCATTCCAGAAATAGAATATTTAGTCGATCTTTATGGATTAATCAAATTTTTAGGAGAGAAAATTGCTGTTAGAAATTTATGTTTATATTGCAATGGGCGAGGTAAGGGCCTAAAAAGTCTTGAAGCTGTTCGGCAACATATGGTGTGTATTTAATGCATCGGCTTGTTAACAATAAGAATCATTATTAATTCTATTCATAAATAACAAATTATATAGATAGATAAAGGGCACTGCAAAATTGCTTACGAGAGAGATGAAGATATAATGGAGGTTGTAGATTTCTATGACTTTACATCCAGTTATCCAGTCGATGACGGATCGGAAGTATGGGAGAATATTGATGATGAATGGGAAGATATTGAAGAAGGTATTGGCAATGAGAATCATGTCAATTTTTCAAAGGGGTATGCGATAAGTTTACCATTTTAAAAAAGATTTGAGCGCGAATAATTTATACTGCATGTGACTTATTATTGATTTAACGTAGCGGCTTATTGGACGAAGATGACATTGAATTAATATTACCATCTGGTGCACGTATCGGTCATCGTTCAATGCGAAGATATTATAAACAAAACTTGCGTCCCGAAGAGGTAAGAATCAGGAAAGATATCTATGCAATCTAATAATATTCATACTGATAGCCATTTTATATTTACAGCATAGAGATTCTATAATTATAAACCGTCTTATTACTCAATATGGCGACTATCATCGACGCTCTGGAGGTGTTCTTATTGCCAAAGGTGGTCATGCAAAGCATGCACAATATTATATCACAACTTTACAAGATAAACGTCATCATGATTTTGATACACGTATTGGTATTAAGGCCAACAAACTACAACGCCATTTCAGGGCCCAAATATTGTAGAATATAATTTATATTGTAGCTTTGAATGATAGCGTAATTTAATCATATAATAAAGACAAGTAATTTGGTGCTTCACCATGAATCAAAATTTTTTTCTTTAATGACGTAATGAAGAACGTCAGTAGTTTAACGTTCATTTGGTCTCGGAATTTTTACACAATTCACGTAAGTACGTCGAGCTTAACTTAAGATCTTTAAGTTCTCCTTCTTTAAGAGATGGATTCGACGAAGATATTACCTCAATAACAAAGGTTTCTAATGTTCCGAAACCACGTTTTTGTCGCTCTTCATTTACTAAGGAAGGATATAAGTTAAGAATTGATTAAACATCACTGAATATTAAGGACGACAAACATACTAAGCCCAGCTCCTGAAATAGTTTCTCTGGATACAACAAGAGCACGAATATCTGGATCAGATATAGTTGGTCCATAAACATCGTATATTGGCTCAACCTAAAAACAAAAAGTCTTAAGAGTGTATATTTAATCAATTAAATGAAACCCCATCGTAAATTTACCTTATATAACAAACCTTGGTGGATTGCATTTAAAAATTTTGTGACTTTTGCTATTCGCGTATTAATTGGTTCCATATATTCCTTGAATTTTTTGTTTTTAAGCATACAGTCATCTAAAGATAATGCAATTAAATTCTAGTAATTATAATGAATGCTTAATTACGATTAGTTTAGGACTTTTAAACTCACCGGTGACTCCGCAAATTAACTTTTTACCTGCAATCCACGCTGTTAAGGTTAATAAAATTTTGTGACCAGCGTGCAAATGATCAAAAGTTCCTCCAACGGCAACGGTTTGATATATTTTGGGATTCTCATTAAGCTTACAATCATTACGATTTTGATCATGTATGTTTTTCGGTGATATTTTAGTATCAAATATGTGAATATGTATTTCAGATAATGAAGCTTTTTTGCGACTACTATTAAACTCTTGCAATCGAGATTGTTCTAAATTGGATACGATAAAAAAAAAACTTAAGATCAAACTGCATTGTAAAAAAAAATCATAGAAACAATATACCTGCTTCGCTTCCGAAAAATACATCAAAATTCTTTTCCTTAACTAATTCAATATTATAACCATTCCATTTTTCAAAAATAACGTCAATTTCAAGAAAATGTCTTAAAGTTTCGTAAGCAACCTTGGTTCCCGATATATATAGAAAATTTAATAGATCACGAATCTCAGTCCAACATTTTGTTGGATAATTACTGTAAAATTCAATTTCTTGGCAAGAAATGTGAATAATTAAAGATGTCGAAGAGCAATTAACTGCCAATTCGATTAATTCTCGATGATACTCATTGAAAGAGGTCAATGTGGGTAAAGTAATTTGAAGCAATGAATTTTCGTAGTTATATTCTGGCATAACGATGTTTGACCCGCTATTACACAGTTACATATGAGTACCGCCAAGAGAAAACTCTTTGCGGCACTCATGTGTATGAAAATCCATAAACCAGTAATGGGGGTTATAAACTTGTCAAATTTAGTATTTTTGACCCGAATTAAGGACTTGTCAATAGATCACTTGATTGCCTAATCACATTTTTCAGGTATTTTAATCTGATTGTCGCATTAATTTTTATTACGTAAAAAAAAATGTCTCTACCGGATAATTATCCTTTTTTAACACGAAAGGAATTTGACATTGCCGCTAAATTATTTATTGAACAATCGAAGAGATCAAATGATGAAGAACCTTGGAGCTGGGTTGAACATGAGGTTTGAGTTAGAAGAATCTGAGTGGTATCGCTTAGAAAAAGGAACTTCACCATGGATGTCATTATGTAGAATTTAAATATAAATTATTTATTATTAATAAAGAAAGTAAAAGGTTTCGGTTACATTTGTCGAAAATCATTGGTTAAACGAGTGACTCCAGTGAATTTCGTTATCCCAGCAAATGAATTCACACAAATTGATGATGAAATATTAGAAGAAGAAGATCTAAACGTACGATAAGTTATTCCTCATTGTACTATTACTCTTTCTCCATTCATCATTTAAGTTCTTCTACAGTCTCTACCCACTGTACCAGTATCGGATGAATATTTTACTGTTGATTATCATATCATATATTCAACTTCCTATAAAGTTCCTGTACTTTATTTTAATGCCTACAATAGTGGTTTGTTTATTATTATTATTATTATTATTATTTTATCTAATTATCATCTCATAGTATTCTTTCTCAAAAGATTTTTTATATTTTAGATGGGACATTATTGACAAATGATGAGATTTATTCAAATTTAGTACATCCTTTAAAACAAAATGATATAAAAAATGCAGGATTTAATGGTGCAATATCACAACAGGTAGTATTTACAATTTTTAATTGACTATTGTACCAAATCTTATAACTAACAAATACATTCTATTGATTTAGGATCACCCGACTCTTTTACTTCCATTTTATTATCTCCATCCCTGTGAAACTGCTACTTTAATGGCATCAATAGTAAGTGACTCAAAAATGGACAATAATAAACCACAAGTAATACCTCTAGAAGGATATATTAGAAGCTGGTTAAGTTTGGTTGGCTCTGTTGTTGGAGTTAAGGTTGCTATAGATTATTTTATTTAATAATACAGTAATATAATAAATGCTTAAAAGTTCATAATTGCTTATCATGTATTTGATTTAAAATTTAAGTTTGGGGCACAACATAGTGCTGTAGGATTCTTAAATGAAATGTGTAATATTTAGGTCGTTTTAGTAAGCATAAGAGTTAGCTAGATGGTAGTGATTATGTAAATGTTGCTAAAGCTTACTCCGAAGCATTCCAAAATGAGCTAACTTCAAGTTGAATTGAATTCTAAAAACTTGGTGCAACCCAGAGTAGATTTAGAGTCATCTGGAATATAGCATTGTGCAAGTCTAATTTTAGATATGAAATTAATTTAATCTTTAGACTAGTAAAGTTCTTTTAATAATGAAGATAAAACAATGTTTCTTTTTTTAGTGATGATAACAATAGTAAACAAAATAAGTACCGTAAAGTGTTATATAAAAGATTCGGGTCTACCAATTTTAAAACCTAAATTTAGACCCGGGGGTCTTTTGTATGGGTGTGGGTATGATAATTGGGGTTTATCCTATTTCTTTAGTCTTTTCAGTAAATTTATTTCCTATTTGCATACCCGGGTCTCTTACATTTTACTAAGATTTTATCCTATATTATAGACTCGGGTCTGGATCTGATATATATGGGGATCTTATATATGGCACTTTACGGTAATATTTGCCTTGTTTCTTTTTACTATGCTAACAATTTGATTTAACAATTTATTAAACTCTTTACGGTAAATCCTCGAGACACAAAAAAACAGTAATAATGTAAAGGCCACACAAATTTAATATATTGGTTTTCATAACATGAAACTTTTAAACAGACCCGGCCGGCCGGCCGGCTTTTTTTTTTAAATTTCATATATAAAAATTTATAAA